ATATCCGATAAACTTGTGAGTTCTCTAATTGTAAGCCTCAGAAGTCACTAGCAGTCAGGTTGTATGCCTCGGGATTACAACATACACGGTGACATCTTAAATGATCAGTTAAAGAATGTTCCTTTGATGGAGCTATCTTGTTGAGGGATTTGGTAGAGCCTTGAGTCGTCTTGTAAAGAATTCTGCCCACCACCCAGCCCCAGAGCCAGCCCTTGCTACATTTTCTGCTCTAGATTCTCATTTCCACATCTTGCTGTTTTAAAACAGCAAATCCCACAGAATTCTCTAAGTCCTGTGGGACCAGATGGTCAATATTCCAAGCAGCTATGCTCGAGGCAGAGAAGGAGGGTGCCTGGGCACACTCCACAGTTCTACCCTGTGCGGAAGGATGCCCTGATGGGAGGAAAAGCTCACGGTCACTGCTACCTGTTTGGGATCATCTCCCATTTACTTGCACTTCTATCCTGCCCGTTTCTCCCTGGCCCCCCACCCCCACCCCAGCAGCATAAATTATTCCCAAATAATTTATACTGATCTCTTCAAGTATTTCTATCAGATGTTTGAACATTTTTTGTCTGTTTCTGATTCCATAAAAACTTAAAAAAAAAAAAACTTTCTAGAGCAATTTTAGGCTCACAGCATCTAATTCCATTCTGAGCCTGATTTTCCCACTCTCTGAATGTGAACCAAATCATTCTAGTAGGACTTTTAAAATAAAAACCATGCTAATAGGTCAAAACAGATCTTGCTCTTAAAGCTAACATTTGTTTCACGTCTCCTTACTAGACAAAGCTTCACGAGGACAGGCTTCCAATCTGATTCAATCATCCCTGTGTTCTCAGCCCTCACCAGTACCTGGCACACAGGCACTTAATATTTGAATCAATTGATTTTTTTTTTTAAGTAAACACTACACCCAACGTGGGGCTGGAACTCACGACCCTGAGATCAAGAGTCGCATGCTCCACCGACTGAGCCAGCCAGGTGCCCCATGAATCAATGAATTCTTATCCAAAGACTCATACTGTATAGCCTTCAACAGTAACAGACAGATTTCCTCAAACTCTTTCTCTGTCTTAACCCCACAAACAGGGCAACAAAGAAACATCTGATGAACATCTAGAAACCATTTTCCGGTACTGCGGATGCAAAAAAGCCCTATTAGAATTCTTCTGTCTAGGGCAATCTAGCGATTTGGCGCAGGATAATTCTGAATCGAAGGGGAGTATTAGGACCACTCTGTGCACACCCTTTTTCTAGAAAGGCCATTTTCAAACTTTCTCCCTGATACTTCCACTTTTACTCTCCACCAAAACGCGATGCCTCTGCTACTTGGAGAAACTAAGGCACAAGAGAAAATCAAGTACTTCAAAGGTTTACCCCTAAATTCTTAATTCAATGAACTCCTAGGAATACACCTCACTAACACTGAGGGACCTCTAAGGACAGAGCTCGAGTCATGATTTTACATTCCACAGTTCTCAAGGACAGGCTTCAAATGTACTCGGTCTTTGGGGAACTGATGCGTTGAATTCTTTCAGGAAGAAAGCTACTTTATGGAACTCCTAAAATGTTAACATTCATCTCTTAGGACGGGAAACTCTTGATGACGGTCTCTTTCTAACTCAGCCACAGACTATACTATGTAACCAAGTTCAAAGGAGAAATTTGGCTTCTTGGGACTTGGGCTAGAGATTGGAAGAATGCATCATCTCGTTAGCTTCTCTTCGGAGAGGTTACCACTGATAAGTTGGAAACACATAGCAGTTCGGTTATGCTGCTTGCTCTCACTGCAGGTGGCCAACAGGCAGGAAAAGAAAATCAGAATGCACTGCGACTTTCCTTGCCAGTTATTGGCAAAGCTGTTTTTATATACAGAGCAGAATAAAAGCCGCTGGATGTGGGGGAGAGATCTGTAAATACAAAAATGGTTTGCTTTTCAAGCTATGTAAAAGGAACTGTAGGCTAGTTGTCAATCACACATGTATACATACACACGAGCTGATGGTTAGACCAACAAAGCTTCTATGGCTTTTACTAGAGAGAGAAAGCTGTGCTACGGAAGAACAGTCAGAGTCCGCTTTTGACTGGTTATCAAAATCGGTGACACAAAGTCTCATGTATCTTTCCATTTTTATGCAACCCTCTTGCTGGAGAAATGCTTTGGGCACCCCGCCACCCCCACCCCGGGCCGTGTCTTCCTCTGTACATATGGAGACAAGGAGCGCTGGTGTTTTCACAGGCTCCAAGGCAGGACGGTTTTAACACACACCCACCATCCAGCCCATTCTCTCTGCCAAGTGACCGGTAATCTGTAGATGGTAATGCCTGCAGCTCAAACCGAGGGATGAACGCTGCCGGCTGGTGCCCGGAGGCCTACACGTATACGAGTGGGAGCCCTTCCTACCAGCCTCGGTGGGCCCAATCCACAGCTGTGTCAGGCACAGCTCTCCGGTCCCCAGGCACAGTCCTACCCACGGAAATCAACTTAAGGTAAAGTGCAGAAGTCCTACAGGTCACTCGTCTCCTCTCTTTGGTGAATGAACACAGACGACCTTGGGGGAGAGTACTGATCACAGAGCCGTAGACACGGTCCAGTGAGGCGGCCCGTTACCGCTGACGGCTGGCCAGGACCAGTTCTGCCAGCGACCAGTTCACAATGCTTTTACCTCATTTTTGAAAGAAGTTAATCTTGAATCTCTGCACTTTTAATAAAACTGAGGATGAAAGTTCACTAGTGTCATGTTCCTTAATTCCCTTTGTGTTTTAAGAACTGCGTGATTTTACAATTATTCGAAATCCTAACAATGTCAGCGACTTTGCTTTCATACAAATGACAGGACAGGAAAATAAGGTTTTAAAGATCAAAAGCAATTACATATTGAAAAATAAATGATGAAAGAGGACAAGGCTATTTGGCAAGCGGGTTCAGCTCATTCATTCGAAGTACTCCTAAGAATACATGTACAAATACAGGCCTAATGAATTTTCTGCTAAAAATAAATACACATATGTAAAAAGCTATTGTAATAAAACCTTTTCCACACTGATATTCTATATTCTACCTGGGATTGAGTCCCAGATCTCCGCACTGTGAAAATTCAGTGGCCAAGCCACTGAGCAGTATACCACCGCTCAGACAGAAGACTAGGAGGCCCATCTTCACCCAGAAGGCCCTTCTGGAACAGTCTGTTGTCGCTGATAACTTACCCCACCTCACCCCCACCCCACTGAGTAACCCTAAAGATTTATAAGCTTAGAATAAATTCCCAGTTACCACCCATAAAGCAAATACAGGGGCCATTTCATTGCTACTGGATTTTGCTTCCCTCATAGCACCAACTACTTCATTATGGTCGCAGCTCTAAGAGTCAGCTGACGGAAATCCTACGCACAGTTTCCTAGTGCATCTTACATCTTTGGTGTGGGGCAGGCAAAAGGGTCTGCCACATGTGATTGTCTAAAAGAACATTTTAAAGACAACCTGGCTGACCTACTGTTCGAGCGCCCTCGTGAAAACGGTAAAGCACAGCTCCGTCTGCCAACCATCTCCCAACTTTGGAGGATCATGACGAATCTACGTGACTTTCCGCCACATCACTCAAGACTCACAACACACGTACAAATATCACAGCAAAAAGAAAACAAGATGGAACAGGACAGAAGAGAGAGGCCTCTAAGCACCCCCAAATTAAAACTTCAAAAACTCCTGAGATATGAGCCTCCATTTTGATTGTGCTCAATGACTTGAATTTTGAAGGAAAGAATAAGCTCGTCAAGAGAGTAAGACTTCACACGAAAATCAAATTTAACACTAAGTTCACGAATCACCCTTTTCAAAGCATCTGTTTCAAACACATTGCAAACTAGAGCTTGCAATCGGGGAGTCATTCTCAAAGTCCTTTTTGATAATAAAACCAAGGTTTCTGATTCCTGCTAGGTACCTAAGATAATTTATTTTCCGGGAAAAACTACCTAAAATCTTATCCAGTAGATTATTGCACAGTGGGGCCCACAGGACAAGGATTTCCAAGGGCTAGTCCTCAGATTAAAAAAGGCCACAATAAATACACCTATATACTATGCCCCACTCTGCCTTGACAAGGTAAACACAAATGTGATGCAGCTTGCTTTAAAAAAGAAACTCCTGAGGAAAGAAAGGGATGGAAATCTCTACCAAGGCCACTTGAGTCAGAAACCGCCAGTACTATCTGCACTGCCGTAAAGGCCGCTCGCAAAATAGACCGACCGTTCCAAGCACCGAGACGGACCCGCGACAAGGTTATCACACTTCCTGGTGTCTCACTCTGATCACAGCTCACAAGGAGCTTTAGAAGGACTTCCTGGTAGATGAGCTCAGAAAGGAAAGGAACTGCTGGCAATCCAACCCCTTAGCAGAACTCTGGGTTCGTCGCTGGCCCTAAAGGCTGAGGTGAGATCCGGAAGATGCTAGCAAACCCGCTCTCTAGTAAATTCCAGTGTTTCGGCCATTATTTCCCACTCACAGTTCTTGAAACCACCAAGACATTTGTGAATGGAGTTACAGACTTTTCCCTTTTCTATCTGGGTAGTGCCACGTTCCAGTCTGACGCTGATGCCCCCTCCCACCGCCCCCATGGCCCACCCCAAAAGGCTTGGCAATCCATGCAGCAGCCTGTCGTACACAGAGAGGCCCAAGTTTTAAATCCTCCCCAACTCACCCCGTAAAAATGTTGAAGCCTAACCACACAAATAAAAACATACCGCTCTGGGAGAGATCATCTAATTATTCTTCAATTTCCTCTCACAACTGATGAATCGCCAATACACAGAGCACTAAGTGTAAGTCCAAACAGCAAACCATGTGATCAAGTTTGTAAATGGACAATCGAGCCAACAAGCTGTACCCTGCCCACAGCACAGCCACGGCCAAGTGGACAGGTGATCTGCTCATAGCTGCACAGGTGGCAGGCCTTCTCATGGCTGCTTTTTAAAGCACTCACTCTCATTCTAAAGTGGTATGCTATACACAAAACCATCAATTTTATTCCAGAATACATCATCTTGATGATAATAAAAAGCTTTTGTATGCACATACTGCCAATACATTTAAAAGGCCCAAATTTTAACATATAGACAAATTCATCAGACAAGAGATAATTTACTTTGGCCGAAAAAAATCTTTTAAAAAAAATCTGGCTCAACATTCTGCTTGCAGGTTTCTACATACACTGTGTATGTGGTGAGTGTGGATGTGTGTGTGTGTGTGTGTGCGCGCGCGTGCGTTTGTGCATGTGTGTCTATAGCCTTTTTTTTTTTTTTTTTTTAAGGGAACAGAGTATGATCTAGCCCACTTTTCCATGGTTATGTAGGAACTACAATGTTCTTTGCTAGCAAAACAAGAAGTGCAAGGTCTGCATTTCCACCAACTCGATGCAAAGCCCCAAGAGCCTCCTGCAAAGTGAAGCCGGCCCGGAGAATCCGGTCAATGTCTGCAGCAGGAAAAATCAGCGGTGGAAGAACGGAGGGACTAGACAATGGATGGCTGGTAGGCGGTCCTAACTCAAGCGGCGGCCCCACAGCTTCAGGACAGGCATCTTGTCGGGTCTCAGGCCTGTCTGTCACCAGATTCTGTGAGCCCTGACCCAAATCTTCAATCAACGTGAACCTGGACAAGGACTTCGTTTGCTCAGAAGCGGGACTGACACCATCCTCCTCACCTGCTACAAGTTTGGGTGAGATTTCTACACCTAAGGTGCAGTGTAACTGATTAGACGTTTTTGCTGAGGCTAGAGTGGCAGAACTGCTCTCGTTTTCGGATTCCCTAGACTCGGGGACACTTTCCTTATCAGGTACTAGGCCATCACCTGGATCCCTGACTTTAATGTTTTCTACATCATCTACTCCAGCACCATTTGAAGTGTCTGTTAACTCTTCTGCCCTCACGGACACAGATATGGTCTGATGAAAGGAGACTTGCAAATGCTCTTCATTCTGGGTAGCTGTAACATGCTCACTTTGGGTCCACCTTTCAGAAAGTTCCTGAATACCTGTTTGGCTGTGGGTTACCATTTCTGATTGACAGAGAACTTCCCCAGATGCATTTTCTGAAGCTGGTTTACTACTAATGACCAAGAGTTCATGGAGTTCCTTCAAGGCTGCTGTCAGAGAGGAGCACCGTTCCTCTGCTGACTCCACAGAGGGCTGACAACTGCCACAGAGACTTAAAGGCGGGGAGCAATCCCCATCTTCTTTATTTGTTCCAGACATTTCAACGTTATTGTCTGGGAGCTGTAAATCCTGAGTGCAAAACGAACTACTCAAAATTTCAGATGAAGGGTTACATTTTGAGGTTTCTACTTCCATCAGGGGATTCTCTAAGGTGAGACCGGATGAGCCGATGTTCTTGACACTGGCGTTCTGACCATCCGCTGAGTTAAGCACAGCACCTGGGGACTCTTGGACTGTATCTACTTCCATAAGTGTTTCTGAGTGTGAGCGGCCAAAGCGTCCTGAAGGTAGAATATTTTCGTCTGTGCCTGGAAGGTCCACGTTCTGCTGCAGCCCGTCTTCTTTCATTGTAGCTTCCAAATCAACACTTCTTGGTTGATTCTGTTGCCCTTCCCCAGGAAGTTCAAAGTCTTCTGTGTCACAGGGGTGTTCCTGTTCTCGGTCATGCAGAGCATCCTGCTGTACAGCCTGATGCCGCTCGTGTCCCAGTTCTCTGTGCTCACGGCTGTTCCCTGGACTCGGGTTCCGACTTTCCGGATGCCAACCCTTTTCACCTGGAGACCCCGGTGGTTCTTGCACACCAGCAGTTGTGACAGATAAACTAGCTTGCCGTCTTGTGTGGAGAGGAGATCTGAGGCCCTGGGTGCTTCCTTCAGCAGATTTCTCCATGCTCTCTGCAACAATGGCTTCTTCGGATGAATTCTGCAGAGGCATGGCTGGAGCACGGTCGGCGGGAACACTGTCTGCTGAAGAAGCACTATCGGAAAGATCCTGTGGAGGAAGATGTTCTCTCTTTTCAGAGGTTACCTGGAATTCAGCGGAAGCCTTCAAAGCCTTTAGAGCTTTAGGTCCGATGCGGTCAGGGTCACTGGGCTTGATAGGGCTGACGGAAGCAGAGACAGAGCGAGCGAGACTCATAGGATTACCAATCTCGGGGCTCCGTCCTGGAGAATGGGCTGGATGGTTGAATCCATCTGAAGTTGGTAAGGATGACATTCCCAGTGAGGTAGTTTCTTTACCGCTTTTCTCTATATGGAACAAAAGGGAAAGGAAAAGAGATTAGTAGGTGACAAAGGCCAGTAACTTCTCAGATGATACAAATCTCAAATGGACAGAACAAAATCAGATCCTTAAACTTGGGTCTGTCTTATTCTGATACTCATACAAGAAGCATTCTCACTGGGGTAGACAATTTAACATCATGGCATCAGAGTAAGAGGTATGCACATTCTTAACAAAACATGTACGCTCTGATTCAATCCTTTTCTTTAAGTACCATTAATAAACATCCACATAATGGCTGAGTCAGTGCTCAAGACTGAAGGACATTTCTGTATCTTTATTTTCCGTGAGTCCAGCACTCTCAGGAGGGTTTCTCCGGGTGTGTTCTGTCACTTGCCCTGAAGTCATGTATGCTAAGCAAGCGCATTCTAGGGCGCCACCCCGGGAGGAAGCCTGTGGATCTGCATTTTCAAAACGCTCCACAGCTGGTTCTTAAGCATGTTAAGAATTGTGAGGATCTCTGCACTAGAGTGATTCTCATGTCGGTGCACTTCTAGTGTTTCAAACGTGAACACGAGGGTTCTAAACGACAAGTTTAAAACCAGATATATCTGTAACAGAGTGGGGATTATAAAGAGAAAGGAGACCTCTGGAAGACAGAGAAACAAATATTCTATTTAATTTATTTCTGTTCAAACTCCCATGATCCAAATCATGATCTAACTGTCTGAGCAAGGACTCAAAGAACAAAAATAAAGATAAAGAGCAAACAGACTGGATCTCATCATCGCCTTACCAAATATGGCAACCTTAGAAAGGATTATCAGTTACTTTGTCACGTTAACATAGCACAACTAAGTGAGAACATTTAAGTACTTTAGGGCAGGGAAAGGGGGGGAGGATCCTGGCAGTGGAGGGAGATAGTTCATAACAGCTTTTGGTTAGGCAATGACAATTTAGGATCAGTACAGCTGACTGAGCACTCATGGACGGCAGGCTCAAGGAGCACCTCACGATGCTGTAAGTATCAGTCCCAATTCTCTTTTTGCCACTGATACAGTCAAACACTGACCTCTATGCAGTTACTAGAAGATCATTAATTAAATGTCAATGGGTAGCAGCAAAAACTACTTCACAATACAATCTCTCAGGGCAGGCGCTTCTCAGACTCGGATGCTTCATGGTGATTAATATCCAATGTAAGGGCGGGAGGGGGGAGGGCTTGACCTTAAGAAGTCAGGAAGTAATCCAGAATCAAACAGCTCTAAATCATTCTAATCCAACACCATCAACAGTATGAGAAGATAAAGCACTATGTCAGCAAGTTACCAACTTCTTGTGAAACAATAGTTTAGAGGTCAACGGGAAAACAGCATTTGCTTCAGTGTAAATTATATCCATTAGTGTCTAGAAACACAGTTATTAGTTTTATTTATCAATCTCTAAGGCTGACTCCGAAAGAGGTTCAGCTGTGAGTTAATGCGAACAGAAAAGATGCATCACAGTGAAATATCCATGTAAGTAGCACGGGGCATGTGATGATGGCCTTTGGGCACTAGGCAAACCAGTTCCAATCACTGTATCAGGTCGAGCAGAACGTGGCCTCAGTGTGTGTTTGGTGCTCACTGAGAAAGCAGCACACAGTCCTCCAGTTACTGAGATTTCACTGGCCTAAGTCCTGACCGTAGGGGACTGGCTCAGTACCACAGGACAGTGGAAGGGGACCGCGAACAATGGGCATTAAGAATAATTAAACTGTGCCTACTTTTACTCTATATTTGTAAGAAAGAAAGAAAAAAAGAAGAAATTAAGTGCTAGGTATCTAATTACAACCAGCCTGGAAGCCCCTATAATGCCCTAGGTTGGGAGCTGCCATTTTTCCTCTTGATAAATCAGCCATAAACTAAAGGCTGCCGTCTCCTGTATTCCCACTCCAGGGAAATGGAAAGGCATATCTCCGTGGAGACTCTGTGAGGCTGGGAGACAAGAGTGAAGTCTCAGCTCCTATCACTGGGAGAATGAAACCTCAGTGCTGGCCACGTTATTGACCCTGTGTCCCCAGACACGTTACCAGGCCGAAGCCTCCATTTCTTCTTCAGCGGAACAAAAATGTCTGACCTTCTACCACTCTAGGCAGTTGTGTGCCGAGATAGGAAAGAGCAACTTCCAGCTTTCCAGAAGAAACAGGCTCATGAAACCCCTAACAGTGTAGTTATCTTCAACAACACTCTGCGGTGCTGACACCCTTAATCTGCTCTATTCATGCTGGCCAGAGGGACCCGGTTTTTCTTGGGATCTCCCTTCCCCCCTCAGACTGTTGCAGCAGTTGATGAAACTACAAATAGGAAACTCTGCTTCGATATGTACGTATGCCAACATACGGATGCATGTACAGGCTGGTTGTAACCAGATCAGACGAGGCGACATGGATGGCAGAAGCTAAATTCCGAAACTGCGGCGGACACAGAGACTTTCTGAGCACAGATGAGAACTGGATGGAAGGCTGAACGTGGCGTCTATAAATACCTGGTCTGGGGCCCACTCCAGCTGCAGCACACACACACTACATGCATCATGGCTTCTGACGCTCTGTTTGAATTAGGAAACAGACAAGCAAACTTGGGTTAACAATGCAAACCACACAGCATGCAGGGTTACTGTCTCCATTCCTCTGCCATCTTTACAACCAGGAACTGGGAGAGTCAACGTTGGGGGACGTTTGGGTGGCTTAATTCTCTCACAATACATAGAACAACGTGTCAGCTTCAACAGATCTTCGATAGAACTTGGAAAGGAATTAATCTCACACACCCACACACATGGAACTCATGGGCAGACGTGTGAGACAGGTGGAAACAGCAGACCCATGGATGGAATCACAGGCTATGGCAACCTTAAAGGTGAGCAAACACTTGTAATAGTCGCTTTCCAAATTTCTTTCTCAGTTGAGATTTATTTTTAGAAGGAAAACAAATGAAACTGGATCATCCTGCCTTAACTTATCTTTTCGTCGGTGTTTAGAAAATGTATCTGATAGAGCTCCTACTGATTTATTTTGCTGCTGATAGAAAGATAAAGATACTATGGTATGAGGTATCCACCAAAGAAACCGTTCTTAGCAAAAATACTTTCACCTACTAGGTCCAAAGTTTTGATTTTGAGGATACTGGGAACTCGGTGTTCCAAACAAGAAGAACCTGATGTAGAATTTGTTCACACACTGTAAAAATTAGCACAAGCCATGTATCGTTACTAAAAAAAAAAAAAAATCGTCCCGTGGGCAAAAAAGCCCCATTTCCTTTTCATCCTTTTTTGAAAAATATTTTTATTTTTTTTAATTTGCTTTTTTGTGTTTTTAAAGTAATCTCTACACCCACCGTGGGGCTTGGACTCACAACCCGGAGGTTAGGGGTCGCAGGCTCTGCACAGCGAGCCAGCCAGGAGCCCTTCCTTTTAATCGCTGGGATCACTACATTCCTTTCGCTATGCCTGAAAACATCTGTGCTTTCTATTTTAATCTCCTTAGCTTTTTATTATAGGAAGGTAATCACCCAAGGAGGGTAACTGTGAGTAGGTTAGAAAGTATTGCTATCATCAGCCAGTGCTTCTCAAATAAAAACACCAAATTGTGGGGGGAAAATACAAATTTCACAAGATGGTAATGCAACATTTTATTAATACCCAGAATGATGGCTAAACTGACAAGTCACTAAAAACAGGGTAAAACCTCCTAAGTGGGTTTGTCAAACTCAGTCATGCTCGCCCTGCAGGGAAGCTTAAAACTATGAATTTAGTTTCCCCCTGGCTGTTCAGAATTTCCCCCTTTCTACAACCAAGGCTGTACTTTGTATGTAGAACTCAAAGGAGCCAAACGGTGTGGTGGAGCAGATTATGAACCTGGCCAGTTTGGAGAAGTCTGTCTGCTACCCACACTCATTTTAATTTAAAGAGGCTCAGGGCTAGACCTTGGGTGTTCTCCATAAAAGCACTGGCAAAATCTGACTGCCTTTTTTTTTTTTTTTTTTTTTAAATGAGCTCCTATCTTTTATGTCTTTAGAAGAAAGCTCTTCCCTGAACTTGTGGCTCTAATACATTTTACTGCATCAGAAAACACAATGTGTGATATTAGTCACTGATGAATAATTATAGCTCAAAACTTTAAAATAACCCCAACTTAAAAGTTAATCCTCTTCAGTTTCTAGAAAATGCATCCCACAGTCACGGTTATAGAACAGATGGGGGAAAATGATCACATGGAGGTAGGATTTCAGCAAAAATGTGTCCTTCCATCTCACCCAAAAAAACTTGGCTTGGTCTTTAGACTGAAACCATGACAATGAAGACTCATGGAGAAAGGAATCCGGAATCCCCACGTCACGAGTTTGTCCCCTGTTCTTTGGCCCGAGAACACACTCTGCAATCTAATAGCATAAACCCTGTACTCTGATTAGTGTTCAGTTAGGCTCCATATTGCTGGCTCCTCTATCTTTGGTAGCAGCAACTTTCAGTAGATATTAAAAAAGGTGTCGGGGCCGCTTAGTCAGGACAAGGCTATCCTTCAAAGGAAGCGGGCCCCAAAAAAGGAAATAAATGTTCAGGGGAACAGGGGAACTTAAAATGAAACGTCTGCTTAGTGTAAGAATTTTTGATAGGAAAAAGGAACACAAGATTTTTCAGGAAGCCTACCAAAATGTGCTTAAGCCAAGAACTCCCCAGTGTGCCTAGGACACAGCAATGATCTGTCGAAACACCGAGTTTTTTGTTACTGTATCGAGAGAAGAGGCGGTCAGAGGACAAGGAATACATCCGGGACAGCACGATGACATGGATTAGGAACTTGAAAAGGTCCCCATCCCCTCTGAAGCTCTAACCTCCCTGGCTCACTGACTATAACGAGCAAGTTATCCAAGAGCTTGGCCACTGCAAATACCTGCATCCTCTACGGATTTTTGAAGAGCTTCTGCTAATTCTTGGTCTGCAATCTCCTCTGGCCGCACTTCCTCTCGCCCAGCCCCGTATGCCAATCGGGCACACTCTGGTAACTCTCCCTCGGGTAGGAAGGTGGTCTGTGAGCCGGTGGTGCCGATTACCAGCACATTTTTCTTGAGGTCAATGGAACACTTAGAAGGAAGAAACCAAAGACTGATGACAGCGGACAAAACACCATGCAGAAAAGTTATCCTGAATTTAAATATTTAAGTTTTATTTAAGTATTAATGTTTGTTTATTTTTGAGGGATAAAGAGGGAGGGAGAGAGGGGAGAGAGAGAGAGCGAGCATGCGAGCAGGGGAGGGTCGGAGAGAAAGGGAGACACAGAATCTGAAGCAGGCTCCAGGCTCTGAGCTGTCAACACAGAGCCTGATGCAAGACTTGAACTCACAAACCGTGGGATCATGACAGGAGCTGAAGTCGAGTCAGAAGCTCAATTGACTGAGCCACCCAAGTATTCCTAATATTTAAGTATTTTTTAAACATTTAAAGTTTATAGCAGAATGAAAAAAGTTCATAGAAGAATCATCTTTATATGATGTAGTTTATACATATTTGTCTAACCCAACCTCTATTCATTTTTGAACTTAAATGTTAATAGATGTCCACTATATGAAATTTGGAAAAATGCCAAGCATAATCAGCAGCCCTTTTTAGAAATATACAGATGATTTTTTCCCTATAAAACTGAGACATACTATTTATACATTTACATCACTATTTACATTGTGCTTACTGCATAAAGTACCAATGATCTCAAAAGTGGTATACGGGCAAGGCAATCTTTACTTTTTTAATTATCTTTTTAATAGAGAGAGAGGGAGACACTGGATCTGAAGCAAGCTCCAGGCTCTGAGCTGTCAGCACAGAACCCACGAACCGTGAGATCATGACCTGAGCCAAAGTCAGACACTTAAACGACTGAGCCACCCAGGCACACCAAGACAATCCTTATTTCATACTTACACCACCCTCCTTTTCCGTGTATTTTTCTAATTATTTAACATAGGACAGTACACACATATATGTTTTATATCTATAAAGCCGAAGACTATTGGTCTATAGCATGACTAAAAAATGGGAAAAGATAGTGACAATAAATTAGGTTTTATTAATACACGCATTCACTCACCACTTCTACTTAAAATTCTGTGCCTTGATTAGAATATTAATGCAATATGTGTTTTTTTTTAAATGTTTTATTTATTTCTAGGAGAGAGAGAGAGAGAGACAGCGTGAGCAGGGGAGAGTCAGGAGGGAGAGATTCACAGATTCTGAAACAGGCTCCAGGCTCTAAGCTGCCAGTCAGCACAGAGCCCGACGCGGGGCTCGAACCCACGAACCACGAGATCATGACCTAAGTGAAAGTCGGACGCTCAACCGACTAAGCCACCCAGGCGCCCCGCAATATGTGTTTTATAGGAACTCAGTCTTAAAACACTTTTAAAGAGTTATTAGTGACATAGGGCTGCCTAGGTGGTTCAGTCCCTTAAGTCCCGAGTTGTACTCTGCTCTCACAATGCGGAGCCTACTTGGGATTCTCTCTCCCTCTCTGCCTTTCCCCACTCCTGCTCTTTTTCTCAAAAGAAATAAACATTTAAATAAAAAAAAAGAGAATTAGTGACATACAAATATTGCCTAGATAGGAAACCTTGCTGTGAAAAGTTTTATTATCCAGTGGACAGTTACTGCTTCTTCAATCAGAACAGTTTATCTTTAAACAAACTGTTAGGTTTCAGAGTGGAAATATAAATATGATTACAAGTGAACATATTTACAAACCATTCTCCCTGTGCTAAATGAACATTTCTACTGCCAACATCTTATGTACACCTTCTTCCTTAATCTTGCAGTTCTTCTTCCAAGCACTGTCTGACCAGCTGCTAAAGATTTACTAAACTTATACTTGCAGTAAAATCATCATCATGTGTTTTCTAGATCCTCCTACAAACCCATCAAAAATTACCTGAGTTCTAATCAGAAACTAAAAGTAACACAAGAGAACCAAGCTGCCCATTATAATCTCAAACAGATGGCAGGATTTAACAGATTCGGAAAGATTTCATAAGAAGAGATTCTATTTCTACTGATAAATCATTTCAAACCATGTATGATGACATCCTCAATTAGGGACCTTTCCAAGTCTGAAGAGCCATGGTTTCTCAGTTCTCTAATATACACAGCCGAGAGAAATGATGCGATCATAACCACGTAACATACAAAATGTCAGTGAGGAAGATAATGAAGCACTTAATTACCTGATGCCGCTTCAGCATGTCCAGTCCCAAAAGCATGTCCATGGGCTGTTCCTCAAGTATAGAGAAAGAGCATGCCAGGAAATCTCCTTCAATCTGAACCTGAGCTAAAGCATATTAAGAGAAGGGATTACGGATTTTTGCTTCAAAAGCCTCATGCAAGCTTTGGAAAGGGATCTATCATTCTGTGCCTTGCTTCTTATAATCAGGCAAAGTCAAGGCAAAGCATGAAACAGGTAAGTTAAGTATAAAAATCCAGTGAAGCCAATGATCAGTTTAAAAGTCAATGAAGGGGGCGCCTGGGCGGCTAAGTCAGTTGAGTGTCTGTCTGACATCAGCTCAGGTCATGATCTCCCAGTTCATGGAATCAAGCCCCATGTCGGGCTCTGTGCTGACAGCTCGGAGCCTGGAGCCTGCTTCAGATTCTGTGTTTCCCTCCATCTCTGCTCTTCTCCCACTCACGTTCTCTTTTTTTTTTTTTTAATTTTAATTTTTTAATTAAATTAACAGTGAGAAAATGTTATTTTTTCTTAAAACAGAGTATAAAATTCTATACATTATACGACCACCTTTTACAAGAATAAAATGCATAGGAAAAGGGTCAGAAGGAGATTAACTACAAATGGTACTTGATGGTTGAGTCTCACTTAAAGGGATTTACGGTATTAAAAAAGGAATAATTCTGGTTACAGAGGAAGGAATGAGCACGTATATTTGTCTCCATTCACTCATGAGTAATTATAATAAAATTTAATTTTTAAAAAATATTCTTGGGGCTCCTGGGTGGCTTAGTCGGTTAAGCGTCCAACTTTCACTTAGGTCATGATCTCGCGGTTCGTGGGTTCGGGCCCCGCGTCGGGCTCTGTGCTTACTGCCAGCTCAGAGCCTGGAGCCTGTTTCAGTCTGTGACTCCCTCTCTCTCTGACCCTCCCCTGCTCACGCTGTCTCTCTCTCTCTCTCTCTCTCTCCTAGAAATAAATAAAACATTTAAAAATATATATATATATATTTTTTTTTGGAGAGCACACGTGGGGGAGGCGCAGAGAGAGAGGGAGACACAGAATCCGAAGCAGGCTCCAGGCTCTGAGCTGTCAGCACAGAGCCTGATGCGGGGCTCAAACTCACAAGCTGTGAGATCATGACCTGAGCCAAAGTCGGATGCCCAACTGACTGAAACACCCAGGCGACCCTAAAATTTTATTTTTTTAAGGTACAAATCACTAAGGGGGAAAAAAACCAGAAGAGACCCTGAAACACGATTTGGGAACAGAAAGGCGAGGGCAGTGAGGAAAACAGGGAAGCAAGCCAGTTAACATCACAGATCCCCCAAGTGGTTAGGGAACAAGTACTTGTGCAAAGAGGGGTGGAGAGGAATCCAAACTAGGTAGACTGGGTGTAGGAGGCACGGTTAGATCGTGGGGTTCCTTCTGCCCTCGGCTGAACTAGGTGACTCTCCTTTCACCCCAACAGTAGACTAGAGATTTATTTTCTCAAGGGAGGGAAACAGAGGTGGACATGGAGGAAGACAAAGGCACAACAGGAACCCGACTGAATCCCAGGGGGATTAAGTTTACGTTTACAGAACCTCTACCCTTTCCTTCCTTCCTTCCAACTTCTGGGTCACCCAGTATGGCCGAGGCTGCCCACCCAAGTAATGTTCCAGGTAGCCTTTTGGGGGGGTGCCTGGGTGGCTCAGTCGGTTAAGAGTCCGACTTCAGCTCAGGTCATGATCTCATAGCTCATGGATTCGAGCCTCATGTCAGGCTCTGTGCCGACAGCTCAGAGGCTGGAATCTGCTTCGGATTCTGTGTCTCCCTCTCTCTCTGCCCCTCCCCTGCTCATGCTCTGCCTCTCTCTCCTTCAAAAATAAACAAACATTAAAAATTTTTTTAAAAATAATGAGACAAATAGCCTTTTGGTGTCCTGGTCTTCAATATGAGCAGATGCCAAGGATCACCAGACATCTTCTCAAACCATCGAACAAATACAAAATGTAATAGGAAGATTGGAAGGCAACGCCGAGGAAATCCCGCAAACACCCACCACATCCAGGGCACAGGAAAGAGAGAAACAGAAGGAAAGAAAATTAAAGGACGAGTCTGGGACAGGACATCATCCCACCGGAGTAACAAACATCCTGGGGACGGGGAAGGGGAAGTGAAACGTATCCCCTGCAGTGGATGAAGACAGACCTAGACCCAAGAATATCACTGTGAATCTGAAATTTCAGAACAGTGAGAGGTCAAAGAAGATTCTACAAGATTCAGAAATGGAAAAGAAATGTTTCAAATACAGGATCAAGCATCGACACAGCAGCAACACTGACAAAACACTGTGGGAACAAAAACGATTCCCGACTTAGCCGGACTGATAGAACACAGGAAGAAAAAACCGCCTATGACAAGTTCTGATAATGAAGGACTCAGTTTCCTCCCTTGTATTCTTTCTCTGGTAGCTACAGGAAGGTGCCCTCTAATAAACTGGGGAGCAAACTTACAAAGACGACGACAGAGGATTCATGTAATCCCATCTAACCGCAAGAGGGAAAGCCGACTTTGGGACCCAGGCAAGGGAGAGTCTAAAACACCAGCTTCTGGAGACTGGACGGCACTGGTCCCGTGTCCAGAAGAACCTTCAACGGGAGATTTACACAACTAGGTATGTGTTCGGGGACTGAGGAACACTTAGAATGCCAGATGACCAAAACAAGACAATTATTAATTGTCAAGAAAAGCAACACAAAAGGAAAAGCAATCATTTTCAATTAAGTGGCTCAGCTCTCTACAGTATTTACGTGTCAGTAACTGCAAGACACACACGTTATTTAGCAACATGGAGGTGAGCACCACAAGGAATGAGCTTGAATAGCTGAAGGATCTCTAAGGAGCAGAAGAGAAGCACCTAGGACTGATTTTTTGTAACCAACTACAGCACGCACGTGTAGAACTCTGACAGAACACAGGATTTAACATTTCTGGGGATCAGGCTTGCTGGGTCAGCTATACCAATACAAAGTACATTGTGAAACACCCGCTACCCTGAAAAGACTCCCATAGTGCCTTCTGCTCACCTAGATGTACCCTTCCAATAATCTTCTGGGTGCCCACTCCTTTGGCAATCCCGGCCCACCGACGGTCCACCAGCCTCATTATATTACACCTTTCTGCACAAGCTTGGCTCATAATAGTCATCTGGGCACCTGGAAGCAGAGGGAAACATCAGATAATAAAAATGAAATCCATGTTTGTGCGAAGATGAAAAACTACAGCCTGAGACCAAGGCAGAAAGCAAGTACCTCACCCCCACCCCCCACCCCCGCTTCTGTCTGTGTACAATTATTCACATCTGGGTTAGTCTAGCCCTTAGCTGTTCTTGCATACTTCATTCAACTTTCAGTTCCACAATCTGAAACACAGTGTAGAAACCTGACAGTGACGGAAAGAATGTTTTGTTTAAGTGTCATAATTAGATGATGTTTTAAAACTTTACCAACAGAAAGCAAAACTACCCGGAGAGGACTTCCAGAAAGTTGAACCACATCTACAGATGGAAACATGTTAAGTGCTCAGCTGAGCACTCCTTTACACTCACAGCAGTCCTCACCAAGTATCTCTAAACATCTTAACAGGTTATTTTTATTCCAAACGTTGGGACTCAATAATTTACTATGTAAAACCCACCGTATCACAAATAAATAAATAAACCTAATTCCCCCATCTCTGCTCCAACAATCACACTCTGTTCCCTTTCAGGAAGAGGGCATTTAGGGTCTTTTCTCCCCTGGTTACGTGGATTCACCCACACAGCCAGAGCAGGCCCGTGCGGGAGACAGACACCTCTCTGTTTCACCCACAGTCCTAACCTCTCCCACACACTCTGGTCTATAGGCCCGAGTACTCGACATTTCCATCTCAAGCCAACAGAGCTATAAAGCTCTTTTCTCTCCCAATAATTCTCACTCTGGATTTCTCTCCTTACCAATGGAATTATTCTCTTGCAACATAAAACTTAGCACCGTTCCCTTGTGACACCTCCTTTTTTTTTTAAATGTTTTTGAAAGAGGCAGAGAGAAACAGGCATGAGCAGGGGAGGGGCAGAGAGACAGAAACACAATCTGAAGCAGGCTCCAGGCTCTGAGCTGTCAGCACAGAGCCTGATGCGGGGCTCAAACCCACTAACTGCAAGTTCATGACCTGAGTCAAAGTTGGACACTCAACCGACTGAGCCCCCCAGGCGCCCCCCTGTGACTCCTCTTCTTTTAGCCTTTTCCCCAACTCTCAAACTCTGCTCCAACCCTGTGAGTTTTATGCAATTTCTATTTCTGACCTTTCTTCTAACTATAGCAATCAGCCTAGCTCACACCCTATTCCCCTCGCTAATGGACAATTTCTCTGGTTTCCAAACCACTCTGTGGATGTATAATTTAAAGGGAGGAAACAGACATGACCCCTGAGGGGTATGGAATCCTCCAGATCTGTAACTGTCTTCAGTCTTCCTCAAATATCATCTTCTTCAGATCACATATTCATCTGCTCAAAAGTCCTCAATGGCTCCTACTCTTTGTAAGATTAGCCTCCAACCACACTGACACAGCTCCTCAGCCTACCTTCTTCTTGCTACTATAGACTGAATATCCGTGTCCCTCCAAAATTCCTATGTCGAAACCTGATCCCCAGTGTGATGGCATTAGGAGATGGGGGTCTTGGGGAGCCTGGGTGGCTCAGATAAGCGTCTGACTTTGGCTCAGGTCATGATCTCATGGTTGGTGGGTTCGAGCCCCACATCAGGCTCTGTGCTGACAGCCAGCTCAGAGCCTGGAGCCTGTCTTCAGATTCTGTGTCTCCCTCTCTCTCTGACCCTCCCCTGCTCATGCTGTCTCTATGTCTGTCTCAAAAATAAATAAGAGACATTAAAAAAATTAAAAAAAAAAAAAAAAAGGAGATGGGGGTCTTTGGGAGGCAATTGGGTCACAAAGATAAGACTCTCAGGAGTGGGCTGAGTGCCCTTACATAGGAGACCCCAGGGAGCTACCCCTCCTGCCAGGTGAGGATGCAGTGAGAGAACACCTGTGAACTAGGAAGCAGGCCAGCGGACACCCAAGCTGCCTGCACCTTCATCGTGGATCTCTCCCAGCCTCCAGAACTACGAGAAATGAACCTGTGTTGTTTATAAGGCCCCTCCCCCGCCCCCCAGTTGACAGTAGTTTTGTATAGTAGCACAAACAGACTCAGCTACCAGACTTCTACCCGGGCTGTTCAGAACCGCCACTTTGACAGGAGAAAACTGTTCCCGTTGCCTCTTACTCGTGCTGACCCTCCTGCAGAGGGCCCCCTGCCTTCACTTTCTCTGAATTCCACTCATGCTTAAGAGACCAAGCTCAAAACGGCCTTCCCCAGTCGTGCTGAGAATGTGGTCTTGATGTGGAGCCAACACGCATCTGAGTTTTGTAGTTGCGGAGTTCTGCCATCAAACAGATCTGGGGCGGGACCCACAGTCCACTACTCGTGACCCTGTCTACCTGAAGAGTGACACCGCCTCTCAACACTGAAGTCTCCCTATCTACAAAATAGGGTTAATAGTCAAACACAGCTCAGAGATTTCCTGAGGACTAAGGTGATTTACATTAAGCACCTAATATGTTGCTTGGCATACAGTAAAGGCTCAATAAATGCTGAGTGTTACTGTTAGCATCTCTTATGTATTTGTCTCTCTCTCATAGGAGTCCCAGGAGGCTCCAGTTAGTGAGTCTTGACTCTCAGCACGAATGCCCTGCCTACAGCATTCAACAGACATTTTTTAAATAGTCAGCAAATTTGCTTCTCCTAAGAACGTGTGCATCTCAAGATATAACCCCCCACCCCTTTGTTTTAAAAGTAGCCTGTGTGTCCTTTGGGGACCCTGATGTCTGGCTTGAACTCAGGACCCTGAGCTGACATCAAGAACTGGACATTTAAGTGACTGAACCACCCAGGCGCCCCCTCACGATACGAACTGTTAATGACAGCTGAAACCTAGCATGTGCTCACAGAATTGTGGAAGAACAAATGGAGGAAAATACCATGTGAGCAGGGCTTTTCCTACCCTAGGAACTCATCCTATCTCACAGGCTGAGGGGACTGCACAGAATTAAGGCACATAAGACCACTCAACCAAACCCCCATGGTGCTCTGTGTGATCTTACTAAGAAACAGAGCTATTACGGTGAGAAAAGGTGCCAGTCGGTACAGGGATCATCTGAATCCTCAAGGGGGAAACTCGCTTTCTCCTGACCTGGCTGTGAAGTGCTTTAAGGCCAAGAGCCCTGATTCAGATGTGCTTCCACTCTTCACAGCTCCTGGCAAAGTGCTGGTGCACAGACCATGCTGAAATATGTCTGACCTATACTCTATGCTGTTGTTTCTTACGGCTCCTTTTTTAAACCCACTTACTCCCACATTTCTTACACAGGTATCCTAAAAATTCAGGATGCCAAGTAAGGGGAAGTAGGAAGATAAAGGAGATACTGTGAAATACAAAACCAGTTCAAAAATGATTACAGGAGCACCTGGCTGCCCCAGTCAGTAAAAGCAAGCGACCCTTGATCTTAGGGTTGTGAGTTTGAGTGCCACATTGGGAGCAGAGTTTACTTAATCAAAAAAAAAAAAAAAAAAAAAGGTTACAGAAATAAACATGTAACAACAAACACACAGCTTGGCAAGTGATGTGACTCTCAGGCTGGTCAGGTGGCAGCCTGGAGGATTACTCCCCTATTTAACAGGGAGCGGAGTCCCCAGAATGTGGGACAGATGGACAGAGACGTCACCTGAGTCAACAAAGGCTTTCACAGGATGTCCATTCACTTTGCAGTTAATATAAAGCATCACTACTTGGCCAAAACTTTCAGGAGCCTCTTCCATAGCTATGGTCATGTTTTCCTCGATGTTCTGTTGCCTGTAACAAACCAAAACCAAGTACAGTAAAATCATCATCTCCAGGAAGAGAAATCTGTTTCAGAAGTCACAGTATTAAAAACAGACTTGGCTTTCTCGCCAACGAGTGACACACACAGAGATGCAGATCTTCGTGAAGACCCCGATGGGCGAGACCATCATCCTCGAGGTCGAGCCTGGTGACACCAGTGAGAAGGTCTAGGCTAAAATCCAAGACCAGGAGGGCATCTCGCCTGAGCAGCGGCACCTGTCTTCTGTGCACAAGCAGCCGGAGGACGGCTACGAGATGCAGGGAGAGCCTGCCTTGCGCCCAGTGCCTGACCTGCGCCGCGGCCTCCTCCAGCCTTCCCTCCACCAGCCGGCCCAGAAATACAATTGCAACAAGATGATCTGCCGCAGGAGCTCCGCTCACCTGCACCCCTGCGCTGTCAACTGCCGTAAGAAGTGTGGTCACAGCAACGACCTGTGGCCCAAGAGGAAGGTCAAATAAGGCCCTCCCACCGGCTCTTCTGCCGCCTGCAGGATGGCCCCCTGCCCGAGCCCCTGGGGCTTTGTGCTTCAATAAAGTTTCCCTTTCATTGACTGGGAAAAAAACCAACCACACCCCACAGATCTGTCTCTATCTTATGCCCCTAGCATAGCCACCGAGTCGTGGCATCGGACACTGGTGCGCTCCCTGCAGCAGGTGAGGGAGTGGGCCGCAGCTGGCAGGAAATCTGAAGGCGAACAAACTGCTTTCACATAAACCGTTCTGTTCCCTTGACAAGCTCAGATGCAGGCAAATAAACCTTGGGACAGCAAGAGTCACAACCTTTGAGTTCCTGGAGCTGGTTCGGATTCTGTGTTCCCCTCTCTCTGCCTCTCCCTCGGTCGCACTCTGTCTCTCTCTCAAAAATAAATAAACACTTAAAAAAAAAAAAAAAAAAAAAGACAGTTGGCAAATGTAATACACAGAGGTTTCAACTGCCCTGCTGGGTCTGCTGCTTAACCTCCAAGACTGGGTTTTCTGCCTGTAAACGAGGGGGCTCCCACCCTAGAACTGCTGAGGGGGTGCGGCATCTAGAACACCACGTTAACAGAAGAGCAGATGCTGCGAAAACACACACGTCTCTTTAGCTACCTGGCTATCGCCTAGAAAACCACAAACACACACACACACACACACACACACACACCCCAGTTCACTTGGTCCATCAAACCATTTCTTCAAACATTAGACATATTCTAATTCTTAAAGGAGAAAGAGATATAAAACACTCCCTAACACGACCAACATTAGTGGGAAGGAGAGAGGGGGCCAGGCAACATACCCCAAGATTGAGGCACTAACAGAACAGGGCCCAAGATTCGGATAAACTGTAACCGCAAAGGAGGGGCTAGCGCATCACACACGGCCACCTGCGCGTGTGAACCTCCCCGGGAACGCAGCCACACGGCTCGGTCCGTCTTGCTGGGTCCTCTCTGGCTGCTCTGGTACCGCGCTGGCGGACGTGAGCGCTAGTGGTGGAGACGGCACAGCATGGAGACCCTAAAATATTTACCATCGGGCTCCTTAGGGACAAAGTGTGCCGAGCCCTGTTCTAAACTGTGATGCCTGTCTTTTCTGTAGTAATACTCTACCTCAAATGAACTGCTGGGTTTGGCAGGCATTCTGTAAAAATTCATGAAACTTCTCAGAAAGTCAAAGGCACCCTCATTTAATTTAGTCGGGGAAACATTATACTCCAGTGTATACACACGCTGAGTAATCACTGGTGCAACACACCAAATGAAACTTCAAAAGGCCTTTGACAGAATTACACGGCTTTTCTCTTATGCCACATTATTAAATTTAGAAACGAACTAAAATTAGTTGTATACTCCTGACCTTGCATTGACTCCAACCAAGATAATTTTTAGCAAAAAATCTTCTGAGATAATACCAGTCACGTTGGCTATTCTGGGCTCTGTATGTATGTAGAGTCTCTTCAGAGGCACAAGGTCTTCTAGAAAAGAATGTATGCGTTACCCGACTTCCTTAAGCTCCCAGGGCCCTCCACAAGCTACAAATAAGCCTCATCTCACAGCTACTCTGTCAACTGTGCAGGGTCAGGGGGTGGCTACATGCCCCCTCACTCTCCCTCCTACCTCTCCTGCTTCTAGGTGGAACACATCTTTTTTTTTTTTTTTTTTTTTTTTTTTAAGAGAGCGAGCATGCAAGAGCGCATGCACGCGTGGACTCCACTTCTCTCCCATCACTCTGTGGGACAGACTTTACTTGTGACCACAAACAGCTTTTGAGACGTTTCTGGTCCATAATTCTTCACTTGAGAAAGAGAGAGTGGGCACAGGGTGGAGGTGCAAAGTGGGGGCAGGGAGGGAGGGAGAGGGAGAGAAGAAAGAGAGTGAGAGAGACAGAGAGAGAGACTGTCCCAAGCTGGCTCCGCGCTCAGCATGGAGACCGACACAGGGCTCAATCCCATGACCCTGGGGTCACAACCTGAGCTGAAACAAGAGTCGGACATTCAACCGAGTGAACCACCCAGGCGTCCCTGAACACATCTATTCTTGAGAATTATGTCAGGTTCCCTTTTAAATGCACTGTAGTCAAGTTCAGAGAACACAAGTTTCTTCCTATTTCTCTGGGAAGATTTAATTAGTGAGATTTTTTTCCCCAAAAAATATTCATATACTAATATGTTAATGCAATTAATGGGGACACTTAATCAACAAGAACACAAGTGAATGGCTAAGGTGTGTAATGGATTCTGGCATACAATTTAAATATCTCTGATTTCAAATGTAGTTGGAGAAACAGGAGATAAAATAACCATTATCTGACTTCCAAGCTGACCCAATTCAGGCTTCATTCAAGTAACCAAGGATTATGACAAAGAACACAGTTCTTCAGGGCCCCCTTACCTGCAAGGGGTACATTCCGTGACCTCCAGCAGATGCCTGCAACCACAAACAGTACTGAACCCTACCTCCTATGTGCTTTCCTGGATGTTCACACCGATGGTAAAGCTTACTTATCAGTGAGGCACAGTAAGAGATGAACAACGATAATTTAATAGGACGACTATAACATTCTGTGACATGTTACGTGATGTGGCCTCTCCCACAACCTCTTACTGTACTGTACTCAGGCGCTAAAATGCCCACGCGATGAGATGAAGTGACGCGAAGGACACAGGCCTCGTGATGCTGTGTGAGGCCACTACTGACCGCTGACCGATCTGCTTCCGGGCGGCGGTTAAACGGCACGTAAGGGGCGGGACTGCCGCACTAGGGCCTTCACAACAAACACACTGCGGGCGTGGGGGCGGCCGCACTTCTGTTCTAACGCACCGGCTGGCCTCTTTCTGTGCCTTGTGAGGTGACCGAGGTCGGCATTAGCATCCTTATACCTGCCCCGGCCCCACCTCTTAACCCTCTGCTCCATCTGACTGGGGAACAGAGCACAAGCATCTGCCTTTTTAAAGCTGCTCATGTGATGTTACCCGAGCCCCGGGTGTGAGAAACTGGAGCAGGAAGTGTGCCTGGCAGTCTGCTTACACGGAGGCCGGCTCGAAAAGTGCACCAGGGACACACCCAGGACTCCAAGGGCCCCTCAGTCCAGGGCTGTCTCATCCAATCACGCCCAGGCCTGGCTTTCATTAGGGCTCACGCATTTTGCCTAAGGATGGAGACCGCAGTCTGCCTGGACAGACAGCCTGACAGCCTCCCCGAACCGAGGCTTCTGCTCAGACCTGGGGGTCATCGCCCTGGAGCTGCTTCATGATGCACCGCAGGCTAGTCCGGGGGTCGTCATTAAAGTCACCAGGTTCGGTATCTGTGCTTTGTAATGTTAAATCAACACATGAGGAGAAGAGGAGGGGAGAGAGTGACCTAGAAGGCTAAAGTTACTATCTCAAACGCAAAACAAGGACGCTACCTCAAAGCAGATGTCCAACTGATACCAGGTCACCTGTCATCTGGGAAACCTGGATTCTCTAAGGCTTGCTCTTTAGGTGAAGGGTCATTACCTTATATCTTCTTCTATTTTTGCCTGAGCTTCAAGATCAAAAGGGTCAGCAGAAAAGAGACGAATCCTTTCTTGCTCTCTCCGGGCTCGGTCCTGCTGCTGCTCCACCAGGACCCTAGAAAATTTCTCTACAAAAATAAGGGGGGGAAATCTTGAGTACCACTCTATTTCCATGCTCTATTAGTACTTTTCCAGAACAAACGGTCTCTCAAAATACAGCTATAAAAGATGCAGACAGGATGCCTCCGAGAATTATTTTAAATGAGCAATTACATTTACTTGCTATTTCTGAGGCAAGACTATGTCGCCTAAATTCAGTATAAAGAAATAAAGTATTTGCAAAAATCATTTATTCCTGTAAGAAATTATCCTTCATACTGTTTCTACTCAGGGATAACAATATTTTGATTCAAATCAGCAGGAATAACTATCTGTGTCGCAGATACATGACCCACTCCTCTCCGCTCGGCCCTGCTGCCCTCATCAACCCATCACCCAGAACTGAAACAGAGCACAACACCACGGAATGCGGTCGGTGGTGCTGTCACAGCCTGTGTGGTGACAGATGGTGGCCACACTCGCAGCGGGCACAGCATGAGGTGTGGACCTGACGAATCACTGTGTTGCGCACCTGTAACTGCTGTTAACGTTGTGTGTCAACTATACTTCGATTAAAAACAACAAAACCCACAGAGCACTACGGCCCCCTTTTTCCTGTTTTAGTGTCACTCTCTTTAGAATACTCTCTACCATAAACCAGAGTAAGTTAAAGGCAAACTACTGTCAGCCTACCCATATGACCTGATGACAAATGGGCAGGAAAAGGAGGAAGAAGAAAATACTGTTTGCTATAAAATGTATGTCACAAAAACCACCTTAATCTTGCTATTTCTCAAATGAAGGTGTATTTAAATGTATAAAGTTCTACGTGCCATCATCATGGTCTTTGGCGGTTAGATACACTGCATAAGAAATTAAAGACACCGAGATAACGATCATATGAACTATTAATACACACATGTGAATGAATCTAAACAATATTAAGCTCAGCAAAAGAAGCCTAACACGAGAGAGGACACGCTGGGTGATTCCATGAACCCGAAGACCGAAAACATGATGATCAGAACGGCAGTAGCCCATAAGGGGAAAAAACTGACTAGCAGAGAACCCACTGGAATTCTGGAGGGGAAAAATGTTCTATTATCTTGACTAGGATGGCGGCTGCATGAGTTTGCGAAAACTCAATGAACTGTATACTTAAAATCTGCACATTTGTTAGGTAATTATTACCTCAATGGTCTACTGAAGAATGAGCTACTGAATGTCTGTTACGTTTTAAAATTTAATCAGCACAGTTGCATAAACCCACGAGTAAAACTGGAGAAATTTACAGAGGAAAACTTTATTCATCGAGCTGACTAAAAATAAACATTCTGTTTAACAGAAGAATGGCTCAAATACGGCAGCAAGGGGCTCTCGTTAAGCTTGGGGTGGGTGAGAGCCAGGGGGTTCCATTTCACCACACAGGCTTGACGGCACCTGACAGGTTCTCTGTCACTAAAAGCATTTCACCGGGCATCAGCTGGCTTACTGGAGCTCTCTCGAACTCCAGAGAGAGTGAGGCTCCCACTAAACAGGTGAAATAAAATACCAGTCCCTAGGACACACGCTGTGAAAGTAATTCGGGGGAAAATGTCAATTGAGCAGGCTGGACAAGCTGCATTTCCGAGCTCTGTGCCATGTAAAACTCGACCATGACCGCCAGTCAACTCGGCCTTCGGCATGAGCATCACTTGACCTCTGGGAGAGCAACTGGTGTGTTCAAGAGACCGCGTGGCACGGCGGGCTGAACACCCCAGTCGCTTGAGTGTCTCTAAATGTGCTGCGCCACAACTACTGCCCCTTGGGTTTGCTCGACAGTCTTCCGGATCGACAGGCTTACCAAGGTCTCCGCTGAGCAGAGCGTCCGCTAGGGGTGGATTGCGCTCCTTCAGCAAGGACAGCTCGTGGGGGTTGGCCAGCAACATGTCTCGGAGCAAGGCTGGATTGTCCAAGCCCTGAGGAGATGAAGCTATGTCCCCGGGAGATGAGTGGGACTGCTGTGCTCCTGGTGGCGGGCGCTGCCGGGAGCCGGACGTGCCAGGCACGGCTATACTACGGAAGTCTATTCGGGGTAAGTCTGTTGGGGAAAATCGGTTCAAAGTTTACTTCCAGTGACTCCACACAAACAAGCATTTGAAGGGAAGAGCAGAACATCTGCTGGTACATGGTACACGGCACATGGCACATGGCAACTGCAGGCATCTGACCTTTCCTCCGCTCTTTCATGCTGACTGAATATAGAGACTGCAGTCTAAGTGAACCCATGGCAAGAATAGCAAAGGGGTGCAGGCAATGGTAATAACCCTAGATTCCTGGCTTATACGATATCGCAGAGGAGATAAGTTTTTACTTATTTGCATTTTTTTAACATTTATTTATTTTTGAGAGATAGAGAGACAGAGCGTGAGCGGGGCAGGGGCAGAGAGAGAGAGAGGGAGACATAGAATCCAAAGCAGGCTCCAGGTTCTGGCCTGTCAGCTGAGCCCAACACAGGGCTCGAACCCATGAACCGCATGATCATGACCTGAACCTAAGTGGGACGCTTAACCGACTGGGCCACCCAGGCGCCCCTACCTGTTTGTATTTTTTAAAAATTAAAGCTAGTCTCAGTAAACATAACCATGTTAAGCTGGATGTAATTCCTGAGAAAAATCCTAGTTTGTTTTGATAGGTCTCAAAGGGCCTGAAGACCTTGGGTAAAGAATACTATACAAACCAAGTGAACTGCATAAATTTTAGATGTAAAATTCTACAAGTCTCTGTTAAACATACTCGTTCTCAGAATTTACCCTTTCATCTGCGCATCACGGCTAACTCCTCTCCTGGCCCCACGGAGCTAGCAGCTATAATCGCTTTATAGGAGAGACAAACAGAAGAAAAGCAACATGCCCAGGTTCTCAGTGCTGAGGTCACCAAAAGACAGAACAGATTTAGAGGCTACAATTCCCAGGTTCTATAATCAAGGCTGAGCTGACCTTATTAGAATGAAAGGAAAATAAAAGGGAGCCTTACACAAAGGACCCACATATTATGATTCCATTTATACGAAATGTCCAGAATAGGAAAATACACAGAGACAGAAAGTAGACTGACGGCTGCCTATGGCTAGAGGCCTGGAGGCAGATGGGGTATGACTGCTAATAGGCCAGTTTCTTTACGCGGTGATGAGAATGCGCTACAACTGACTGTAGTCATGGCTGCACAAGTCGGAATATACTAAAAATGAACTGTGCCCCTTATATGAGTGAATTGTATGGTATATGAATGATACCTCAAGAAAACCATTACTTAAAAAAGAGTTTTACCTTAAAAAAGTAGAGCAGAGCCAGAATAGGGGCTACAGCTGAGTGAATGCACATGTCCTCCATCCCCAAAATGTGCCTGACGGTCACTGCTGGTTCCAAGGTGAGGCTACCTTGAAACTTTGGGGACATCAACTAGAAGAAGGGAATCCTTAAACTCAAGTGTCATTTTCTGCCTCTTAGCATGGGTTCAACTAGCCATTTCCTTCAAACAGACCTCAGCTGGCAGCTAGTAAGTGTCTGTGTGTGTGTGTGTGTGTGTGTACACATGCACATGTGTACGAGGGAGTTAATCCATACCGACCAGCAAAGCATATATGGGTGGGCCTTCTCTGTGGGGCAAGAAATTTTTATCTCTAACCCCATTAACACTTATCTTGAGAGTCCACTCGCTTCAGAAGAATTTTGAAAAACTTGTTTACCTGATAGACTAGATCTGCTCCCCTCCCCCACAGACTGGCTCACTTGTCCATATGGGCCAGTACGGGGGGCGGAAAACAAGGTTCTCCAGAACTAACAATTTCACCAAATTAACCAAAGGCAGAGTTGGGGTTTTTTTTGACTGACATGTTCAAGTCACAACTCTTTCTGAAGTTTCACAGTAGGCCCAAGGGGCTAACGTGACCCTGATCTAGGAGGAACGGTGCTGCTGGTCTCTTTCAGCCCCAGTTTCGGGCCGGATGGACGTACTACACACTGTTCTAAGCTGGCATGTGTCATCATCACCCAGGCACCCATCAGCTGTCACCACAAACTTTAAGCCAACTGACCTAGAGACTAACCAGCATTTGAAGACATCTACCTGGAGACAGCAGGGAATGGAAAACACTATTACATTTCATCAAACAATTCCACATCAGAACCATGTCAACTTCTGGCAGATCAGAAACCCCTCTGAGTATCTGAAGAAAGTTACAGACCCTCTTGCCATCAAGGGCACACATGCTCACAGCCACGCAATTGTGCATGTTATTTTAGGGACGCAGAAACATTCTAAATCCCAAAGCACAGTTTCCAGACTATAAACCCCTATTCCGGATAGAACATTGAGACAGGTAAGTTTCCTTTCACATGATTAACACAGCTGGTGGGCACAGAGCAGAATCTGGTGGTCCAGCTGCCTAATGTTCATAAAGCTCAGTATCATGGAAGAAGTACCACATTTTAGTTCCCATATCTTCACTTACTAGCCATGTAACACTGAAGACATTACTTAAAATTGGAGCTTCGTCTGTTAACGATAACAAATTATAAAGAGGAAGCTCTTCCCCTATAACCATGCTGAGATCCCGTGCAATGTGCATGCAAGTGCCTGGCTGACTAAAATGCTCCACTCAGGCCTACTAGCTGCGGGCCAGACACAGAGCAGCCAAAGTCAGTCAGGAATCACCGGCATAGGTGGCCTCTTAAGTCCTTCCCCAGGATAAAGTTCTCATTGATCACAAAGGAAGCGAACATTTATCGAGGGCATGCTGTGTGCTGAAGGCTGCGCTATTCTCAGAGCTAAGGAAATGGCCGTAGGGAAGTAGACCCCGCAGTCTGCACCCGAAGCCGGTCCGCAGCTCAGACCCGCTGCGTTATGCTATCTTCTGATGCTTGATCAGGGATGCCTTACTTGGGAACTGCACTGGAGGTCGAGGGTCTGCATTCTCCTTCTGTCGTAAAATCACAACGTCCCCGTCTTTCAAGCCGTAGGAAGCCAGCGATCTGTGGTTGTCTGTGAGGGGTCTTTCAGCATAAACGATCTACAACCAGAAAAGATTTCACAGTATAAAGCACTGAGAAATAACATGGCACAAAGCAGGAAGACTACGTATGTGTCCCTTTTCATCAGATGTCAGTCCGTGCTCAAAACCCTACAATGGTTTCCCATCACACCTGCAAACAAAAGCCCAAATCCTTCCTGTTACCTGCTGGGTCCAACAATTTGGTCCCTGACTCCCCCTCTGACTTCATCTCATACCGTAATTGCTGTTCCCTAAATAATGTGATCAACTTCCCCCTTGGGACTGTTTCACTTGCTCTTCTCTCTACCTGAGAAATGTTCTTTCCACAGCCATTTCTTTTTCAAGTAAGCTCTATGCCCAACATGGGGCTTGAACTTACCACCCTAAAATCAAGAGCTGCATGTTCTACTGACTGAGCCGGCCAGATGCCCCCCCCCCCCCCCCCCCCCCCCCCCCCTCCTGCTCAGTGCCCATGGCTGTCCCCCTGGGTCAGACGACATCCTTTTCTTGGATCACAGCAATCGCCCAATCCAGTCTACCCTCTCTAGAACGNCCCCCCCCCCCCCCCCGCCACCGTTCTTTTTTAAGGTCTCTGATCAAACATAACCTTTCCAGAGCTCTTCACTAATCACCCTATTTAAAATGTACTCTCATCTCTCATATTAAGTATCTATTTCTCTTTAAAAATTTTTTTAAATGTTAATTTGTTTTTGAGAGACAGAGAGAGAGAGAGAGAGAGGCAGACACAGAATCCAAAGCAAGCTCCAGGCTCTGAGCTGTCAGCAAAGAGCCCAACGCGGGGTGGGAGATCGTGACCAGAACCGAAGTAGGCCGCTTAACCAACTGAGCCACCCAGGGGCCCCTTAAGTATCCATTTCTTTACTGTCTTTCTTCTCCACTAAAATGTAAGCTACTTGAGGACAGGACTTTGCTTTGCTCGCCCTATCTCAAATGTCTTGGTTTCTTCTTGCGACAAGAACTTTTAACGTTTACCCTCCTAGCAACTTTCCAGTATGGGATACAGTCTTGTTAATTACAGACACCAAGCTGTACATGACATCCCAATGTGTCCATTTTTAAATGAACTTGCACGCTGGCAAGTCTAAAAGTTTTTCCAAATACCACCTGTTCTGCATCCTTCCTTCTGTTCTACTGGATCAGGGATGTACTAGTAATAAAAACATTTTTTATGATGCGCAAACACTGAAGAAAACCTGAGAGCATAAACGCAGATGAAACACCGTGCTGTAGGAAGAACAGCGAGGAAAGGGCACACTACAGTTTTACCACGAAGGAACATAAAACCTACCCTGCACTGCGACATACTCCAGAGGGGGATTCCGAATAAACTCGGACTCTGAAAGGTTTCCTTCTGAACGATGTGCTGTGCACCAGGCCACGTGCAAGCTGGGAAACCTGAGTCCTGTCCTGGCTCTGACAGGGGCCGCGTCCCTCCGCTAGCCCTGGCTTCACATTTCCGTTTGCCAAGCAAGTAGCTGGGGCTACATAATCGCTACAGCATCCCTTCCAGGTCTGTCTGCCACACTAGCATTTACAGTGCTTCCTCATGGGTCCTCAAAGCTTTGGCAGTAAGACTGCCTGACACACAACCTGAAAAATACAGATCTCTGCCGGGAAAAATGATCTGTCGTATCTGCTCTCAGAATCTGTCCTGACATGAGAAACAAAACCAACAGGAAACTGGATTTCCAAAGCCAAATACTTCGGGGGGGGCGGGGGCACAAAAAATGGACTTCAGAGGTCGTAGGGCCGATTACACTTCCTAAGTTCTATACACGATGAGAAAATGTATTGTTAGTTCTTACCCTCAACCTGCAAAGTTAAACTATGCTCCAGCCGATGGCAACTGTCACTCCACCTATCCACTCACACCCCGCTATTCTCCCTCATTGAAGCACACATCGCATGGGGGGAGTACGACAGAATCAACGCACACTGTTTGCAATATACAACCCGAGAGCCGTACCCTACTTGTGGGACTGCTGGGGAAACACATCCTAAGTGACGAGTGTCACAGCTGAGGTGTGCACCACACAAGAGGAGGCATGCCAGCAGAAACACCACGCAGGCGGCTCTCACAAGGCGGTATCAACACCGTGAAGCCACCACAACAAAGGTACCAAGTGGTCCATGGTCCACTCCTTAATCTTGCAGGTCCAGAAACTCCAACTATCAGTATATTTAGAGAAACAATCAGTTGACACATTCTAACCATACTTATAAAAGAACATTAATCTACAACAGAAAATCAGACTCAGCTGCATCAAAATGCTCCTCCCATCCAGCACCTCACTGAATTGTCTTCAGGTTGGCAGTGCTACCTGGAGGGCCACATTACAACAGCAGACACCACCACAGCATGCACTTCTATCCGAATGGGTTCCCACAGTCTCCGGCCTCATCCAACACCCTCTCATCTCCAGGTGGTCATTATTCATCCCATTTTATGGACAGGGAAACAGAGAGCTCAGTGACCTGAGGCTACACAACTATTAAGAAGAGAAGTAGGAGGGGCGCTTGGGGTGGCTCAGTCAGTTAAGCTTCCTACTTGGGCTCAGGTCATAATCTCATGGTTTGTGAGATCAAGCCCCACATCAGACTCTGCACTGACAGTGTGAAGCCTGCTTGGGATTCTTCCTCTCTTCCCTCTCTGCCCCTCCCCTGACTCAAGCTTTCTCTGTCTCTCTCTCTGCCACTCCCCCATGCATGCTCTCTCTCTCTCACCTCAAAATAAGTAAACATTTAAAAATTTTTTAAATAAATAAAGACGGCCTGATCTAACAATAAAAATTTAAGATCCTGGTAATAACTACCACCAAACACATATATGGAATGTGGAATATTGCTATCTGCCCCATTTCCTAAAAATACTAGACTGAAGAATGTGGGTGAGGAGCAAAACATTCTTCACACTGACAAAGCAGCAGGCGTATTCCATTTTAAGTCCAAGGACACAAATGAAATAAACAAAAGCTTAGCTGAAATTCTAATTGCCACAAAGAACGGATTTCTTTTTGTTAAAACAGGCTTAAGAGTCTAAGGAAGACAATTATTTTACAGCTTACGTCCTAGAAGAAATCTGAATGATTTTCCAGCTCAACAGGAGTGTATCATCAGACCAGTGGTGTCCCATTTTTACCACGCAATACAAAAGGAGTTTCGGTTAGGCACTGGTGGTGCTTTCCACCATAATATCCAACTCAAAGGCCACAAAACTAAAAATTCTAGTTTTGCCAGTTATAAGAACATCCAAGAGGACAATTTAAACAGCTACAAGTCTTAAGTTGCAAAACTGGAACACCTGCTAGTACTAACTCCCAAGGAGGCACCCTAGAGACTGAATTCTAATCTTAATCAACATGTAACAATAGACTAATTAAAAAAGTCCAAGACCATCAACTCCATCATTAAGCATGATGTCCAATGTCTTCTCGTCTTCAATCAACACAAATCCTAACAATACGTTTCTAGCAATAAGGGCCATCAACTGGCCACAAAATCTTTGGACTCACATCTTAATGACTCCCTATTCTTATCTATTATTCATTGAAAGTCTACTATATACCAAGTGATCTACATACACATCTCCTGCAATAGCTTGACTTTTCCAACCCTTCTGGAAAACAACATGGCAACAATTACTAAAAGCCTTTCAGAAAGACCTGTCAGGGTGCCTGGGTGGCTCAGTGGTTGAGCATCAGACTTGGGCTCAGGTCATGATCTCACGGTTCGTGGGTTCGAGCCCCGCGTCAGGCTCTGTGCTGACAGCTAGCTCAGAGCCTGGAGCCTGCTTCAGGTTCTGTGTCTCCCTCTCTCTCTGACCCTCCCCTGCTCACAGTCTCTCTCTCTCTCTCAGAAATAAATATAACATTAAAAAAAAAAAAAAAAAAAAAAAGACCTGTCAATTCCATAGTTAAGAATACATCCTGAGAGGGGCGCCTGGGTGGCTCAGTTGGTTGGGCTCAAGTCATGATCTCGTAGTTCGTGGGTTCAAGCCCCATGTCGGGCTCTGTGCTGATGGGTGGCTCAGGACCTGGAGCCTGCTTCAGATTCTGGGTCTCCCTCTCTCTCTGACCCTCTCCTGTTTATGCGCTGTCTCTCTCTCAGAAATAAATAAAAAACATTTTTAAAAATTAAAAAAAAAGAATACATCCTGAGAAAATCAGAAATGGAGACAAAGCCTTACGTACATAGATATCCATGAAAATGTTACTAATAACTGCTTCTAATTTTCCCCGATTCAAATGCCCAGCAATAGGCAATTTTTTAAATAAACTGTCATACATCTATATGATAGTATATTATGCGGCCGTTAAAATTATAAATTTGAAGAATCTGAAATGTAATGGGAAAATGCTGACAATGTAGCTTTGACTGAACAAAGAAAATTGAAACTGTTAGTACACTTCAGGGCATCATGTCTAAAGGTTACATTTTAACCATATAAAAGGAAGAAAGCTTAGGGGAAAAATACACTAAAAAGTAAACTGCAGTTATTTTGGGGGGATATGGTAGTAAGTAACATTCTCTCCTTACCTTTTCCTAGAAGTTACAAATTCTCTATAATAAATACATAGTATTCATCAGAAAAAAAATACATAAAAATTACCTGCAAAATAAATATGTCAAAACCAGCTACCATAGAAAATTTCAGTTTCTACTGCTTTAAAATAGTGTTTCACAAACCACAAATCATGCTGTGTATGGAGCTGCTTTTCCGGGATCATACAGTTACTGCTATTATTTGGCATTTAAATACGCCTTTTGAGAGTCCATACACATTCTGCACACGTTTTTACTACATGCTATCTACAGGGGTAAATTATAATGATGTTTCAAAAATACAAAGACATTAATTTAAAGTGAAGCAAAGTTCTGATAATTCTTTGAAGTCTGCCCAGCCAAGTCTGCATCAAAGCATCAAACAGAGCTATGCCCGGCTTCCAAGCCCACACTTGTATTAGGAGATGGAATGAACCCAGCTTTAATCACATGTACAAGTAGAGATCGTTTCTATTCTAAATTTGTTATCATCGCATTAGAACTACTATAATCAGACTAGAGCTGTTAAAAGGTAACGTCCTTTCCGAGTGCACACTTATGCACCACTGATACTGATATGAAAGTCTGAATTTTAGACCAGTGATCCCCAATGTGGGGCAGGCATGCAAAAACAGTTCTTTAAAGATGTAGGAACAGAAAAGTTATTAGAATTTTCATTTCCATTTATTTTAGTTCATCCTTCCTTAAATTCTACTCTATGGCTGTTTATAAGGTACATAAGGTTATTATTTCACATACACTGTACCACTTATGTTTCCAGTTATTCTATACATATATGTGCATATATATAACGCATATAACATTAGTTCATGTTCTTAATTTATTATATATATTGCAAAGATGTATGTTCCGGGGCGCCTGGGTGGCTTAGTCGGTTAAGCGTCCGACTTTCGCTTAGGTCATGATCTCGCGGTTAGTGGGTTCGAGCCCCGCGTCGGGCTCTGTGCTGACTGCCAGCTCAGAGCCTGGAGCCTATTTCGGAGTCTGTGTCTCCCTCTCTCTCTGACCCTCCCCTGCTCACGCTGTCTCTCTCTCTCCTAGAAATAAATAAAAATATTGAAAAAAAAAAAAAGATGTATGTTCCAAAACACTGTACTCAAAGGGAAACCTGACTGAAAAAGTTTGGGGATCAGTGGTTTGGACAGACTGTGACAGGAAACAGCCAGGAACATTAAAAAAAGAAAGAAAAGAAATTCCCTTTAGAAATGGAGGTGAAGAAATGAGAACAGATAAGGTAAACAAGAGTGAGGGAGAGAGACCAGGACTAGAAGGGGAAGGAAGGGGAGGAATATGGGAGAAGCTGGGAGGTGAGGCGCTGGGGGTGGGAGCCTCAAGTTAAGTGATGTATTTGTAGGTAAAACTATAATGATGTTTACCGTTATGATTTGGTGAACGGAAATGACTCAAGTGTGTGTCTAGGGTGGATCCTGTTCCTGCCTCATGGGCAAGGCAAGCAACTGAAAAGACAGCCGACCACCAGACATCTTAAAATAGATACTGTGTTAGGTTACAATGGAGCCAACGGAACAAACTTGCAATAGGGGAGCAGTTTACAGGCTGGGTGGTGCAGGCTTGAGAAGACAGGAGCCCAGGTTTCCATATGCTAATCTGGCCTGGGAGGAGGTAAATGCCCAAAGGGTGACCCAGTGAATAAGAATTCGTGGAGTTAGCCTACCAGTTCATTAGTGAGGTACTCCTAACATCCTGAGCTAAGAGAGGCCGGTGCCTGCCTGGAGCATGCAATGGACTATCTTTTCCAGGTCCCTTCCTTTAAATTTGCTACAGCCCAGCTCAAAAAGGGCAGGAAGAGACGCCATGCCACTTTTCATCTTCTCCCGAGGCCAGATAAGAACAAAACCAATTTACATCTTCATTTTTTATTTCCCCCACCTGCTGGTGACTCTAACCAGGGTAACAGAACGGAGGATAGAGAACAACCGAAAATGCCAAAAAATTCCAGGGTTGTGTTTATCTTCCTCTGTAAACTGTCCTTTCCTAGCTTTTCCCGTGAGGGGGAACCGGTTCCTCGGTTTATAGAAAAAAACTGCAAAAGAATCCCTTTTACTGATCTCTTTGTAGCTTCTGTAGCGTCAGTTTGTGTTATCTGGGTGACACTTTGCATCCTGAAACATTTTCTTTATGCCAAGGTTCTAAAGTTCACACAGTGTAAAGGAATCATACTCACTTCTGAACAAAATATTGACGCACTTGTTTATCATAATACAGGGCAGAACAGGCTGCAGTTGGGCAATAGCTTTTAGAAGTATTTCATAACTGCAGGAGAAAATCAAGATTCACATTCTGGGGCCCTGGAGGACTTCTGTAATGTTCTTAATGTTTAGATCATGTTCTCCAAGGTCCACTTATCAAGATTTAAATGTTTTAGTGTAAAGGCCAGAGTTATCGTCACAAATTCTGTCTGGTGGCAGCTCGGGGCATTTTGAGAATAAATCATGTTGCTTATTTCACATAAATGGAAGAGCAGCTGAATTTCCTTACAGCATGGTAGGGAAATGAAACAAGCAAATCACACCGAGAAGATACTAGGCCATTTCTACGAAAATATCTTCATAAAGCGCTGAACTTTGAACCCACCCAAACTTTGAATCGTGGCCTGAAAAAAAGAGGGATTCTGGCCTACTACCAGCGAGGAAACCAGAGACTCAAACAGCTTGAATTGAACTAATAACTACCCCTCCTCCTTTTTTTTCCTTTTTTTTAAGAATTTAATCAGAAATGCCATGTGGTAGGGAAAAGGGAAGAGGGCATTTCCAAATGCCTCAAAACAAGGGAATGCAAGCCTCAAACTTTTTCCTTCACTGCGAGTGCAAACGTCTACATTTAAAGGTAAATTACGTTTGCTTAAGCAGGAGCTGTCTCCAGAAAACCAGATGAACATCCACCTAACCACAGCGATCCAAACTGGTATTTCTGGTTGGGGAAGTAGAATGTATGAACTCTTGCAAACCTGGAGCTGCTTCTCCGGTCCCCAACACCCCAAACTCAGGATTATTAGGGGAGAAGGGGCCGAAGAGCCCCAAGATGGGGCGGGCCGCCCAACACTCCACGCGCCCCTCGGGCTGCAGTGGGTGCGTCTGCGGTCGGGTTCCCCGCTCCCTCCCATGGCACCCCACCCCGCGCTCGGAGTGTGTGGGGGCAGCTACCGATTCCAGCTCGCTCCCGGACGCGGGGGCGAGCTGGGAGAGGCCATCCTGCTCCCCCACCCCCAATTCCCCACCAACAGCAAAGGGAGGGCGTGAGACCCCAAAGCTGGAGGGCTAGCCCTGGAGAGAGACCCCGCTCGCTGCCCGGCGTACCTGGCTCTCGGCTGCGGGGATGCCGGACTCGAGCTCGCACAGCGCGCGGAAGTTGTGCAGCTCGAAGTCGGCGTCGACCTGGAGGGAAAAGGTCACCTCGGAGAGGTCCCTCCGCACACAGTACACGGTGAGCAGCATGGCCCGGGCCCGACCCAGCTCGGCTCGGCCCGGCCTCGGCGCTGGGCTGCGGGGCGGTGGCGGGGCCTGGCTGGTGCTGCGGGCGGACGGCGGCGGGCTGCTCGCTCGCCCGCCTGCTCCTTCCCTCCCTCACACACGCTCAGTGACTCACTCCCTCCCGCCCTCACTACCAAGCACGGCCGCCGCCACCCGCCTGCGACTCCGTCTGCCTGCCTGCCTGCCGGCCTGCCTCCCACCGCTGCCGCCAAGCGCGCCGGCCGCCCGGCGCCCCGCCCCGCCGCAACGCGGCTGCCGTAAAGCCCGCCTGGCTGTCTCTGCCATCGCGACGCGGCGAAGGGGCGGGCCGGGAAGAGGGAGGCGGGAAGCTGGGCGAGGATGGGCGGGGCTTGGGAAGGGAGAGGGCGGAAGGGCGAGCAAAAGGGAGAGAGGAGAGCAATGAGAATCAAAAATGTGCTAATTGAGTGGTTTAATAGCTGAGGTCTGGGGATGACTCCACAACCTCATTCATCCGACAGGCATTTATGAAGCCCCTTCCGTGTGCATACAAAAATGCGTAAAAATAGGGGTCTTTCCTGAAGGGACTCTCAGGCTGGTGTAGGAGACTGAAAACTAAACAGAAAGTTCTAAAATGTATTTTACGTAGCAGAAATTGAGGCTCAGAGGGATTAATCCACTTCTTGTCCTATGATGATTAGGGTTAAAACCAAAATCATAATCTGCCTGGTCTATACAGCCAGCTTACTCTGGCCCCTGCCTTCTCCTCCAGACCCCGCCCCTGAGCCCTTCCTGCACTCCGCTTCCAGCCACCTTGGGACTTGGGGTGCCTCCAAGGCTCCCTTCCCCTGCCTTGGACAGTTTTCCCTCCATTTGGGCTGTCTCCTTCCTAGACCTGGCGATATTGGGCACCGCTTAGAATCCACTCCAGGAAGTGCTTTCTACTGTAACGGCCTGTCTGGGGCCACAGAGCTGAGGCGTGGATAGAGGCCCAGAACGTGAGGATTCGTCAGAAAACCAAAACGGATGCAAGCATGGTATCTCCCTGTTCACCACCCGTTTGCTCCCTATCCATGGAGTGGAGACCCCTCTTCTATTACAACAGGGAGGGAGGGAGGAAATAGGATGGCTACGGATGAGGGTAAGTAGGTAGGTTTGGTGGCCAGAAAGTCAATGACCAGCTGAAGACTTTCCTCGGTGGAGGAGGGAGGGTCATCTGTGGAGAATAAAAAGTAGAGGAGCAAGGGGTTGAGAAGAGTGGTTGTATCAGGTACAGAAAGCCTGACTATCAGTGATGTAAGCAAAGAAAGGTTTGTTTCTTTCACAGGTTAGGAAGCCTGGAGGTAGACAGCCACATCTGTTCCATGACTCAATGATACCGGGGCCTGTATTTCTGTAAATCTTTTGGTCCTTCCCCTGAGAGACACAATATGGCTGGCTGCCTCTACCCCATGCATCATTTTCTTGCTCGAGGCAAGAGCTTGCCCAGAGTCCTGCAGCCCTGCCTATAAACAGACTCACGCTTACATCTCACTGGCCAGATCTGTGCCACATAGATGCACACAAGGCTAGGAAAGTGAGTGTTCAGCTTTCCTCACCTCATTAAAGGACATGGGCAAGAGAAATGGTTTCCGCAATGGGTGTTAGATGAAACCTACATAGCGCCTACTACAGCAGAGAAGACTTGAAATAACCCTTGCACATTGAAGCGAGTTGAACAGAGAAGTGATGTAGAATTGCCGGGTGGTGTCAAGGATTCAGCTGAGGTTGGAATCATGAATTGATTCATTTTTCTGTTACATTATTTTTCTAGTGGTGTTCAGGTGCCCACGTGTGACGGAGTTTTTTGGTTTTTTTTTCCAAAGATGGGCACAACAGTATCTTCCATCTTATATGTTCTACAATGTGTCCATAACATTCCTTCTATTAAGAGATCGGTGTATGTCCCTCCATGTATTTTTACTTTTATTTTTTTGAGAGAGAGCAAAGGGGAGTGTTTGAGAGAGAGAGAGAGAGAGAGAATCTCAAGCAGGCTTCACACCCAGTGCAGAGCTCAATGTGGGCTGATGTGGGGTGATGTGGAAAACAAAGGCAGAAGGAAATGGCAGATAAAACTAAATGTCCTTATAACCTACAGCCCATTGACAAATACTTGAGGCTGTCAGAGTAAAACATCTCCCTACTGTCTTAATGTTAGTGCTTTGCTAGAGGGAAAAACAACCTTAGCTTGACAATAGCTAGGCCTCCAGTATCCTGTGAGTCTTCTTTAGCATATGAAAATCCCTTTGGAAACTTCCCCTTGACTTGATCTCTCCCAACTCCCAAGTATATACCAAGTTTCTCATGGTCCCCAGGTGGCAGCACTCCTTGCCCATGGGTCCTGTCCCTATGCTTTAATAAAATCACCTTTTGGCACCAAAGACGTCTTCAAGAATTCTTTCTTGGGGTGCCTGGATGGCTCAGTCAGTTAAGCGTCCGACTTCACCTCAGGTCATGATCTCATGGTTCGTGGGTTCAAGCCCTGCGTCGGGCTCTGTGCTGACAGCTCAGAACCTGGAGCTTGCTTCCAATTCTGTGTCTCCCTCTCCCTCTGACCCTCCTCTGCTCACACTCTCTCTCTCTCTCTCTCTCTCTCTCTCTCTCAGAAATAAATAAAAAACATTACAAAATTAAAAAAAAGAAAGAAAGAAATAGGGTGATGTCATAGAGAGCAACTTAAGGATGGAAATATGGTGTGAGGGGCACCTGGGTTGCTCAGTGGTTAAGCATCTGTCTTCAGCTTAGGTCATGAACTTGTAGTTTGTGGGTTCGAGCCCTACATGCTGACAGCTCAGGCCTGGAGCCTGCTTCAGATTCTATGTCTCCCTCTCTCTTTGTCCCTCCCACACTCACACTCTCTGTCTGTCTCTCTCTCAAAAATAAACATTAAAGGGGCACCTGGGTGGCTCAGTCGGTTAAGCAGCCGACTTTGGCTCAGGTCATGATCTTGCGGTTCATAAGTTTGAGCCCCGCATCAGGCTCTGTGCTGACAGCTCAGAGCCTGAAGCCTGCTTCTGATTCTGTATCTCCCTCTCTCTCTTCCCCGTTCATGCTCTGTTTCTCTCTGTGTCAATAAAAATAAAATAAAATAAAATAAAATAAAACACATTAAAAAATAAACATTAAAAAATTTATAAAGAAAAAAGAAATGTGGCATGAACACTGGATAGGATAGTTCAGTGAAGATGTTTCTGAGAAGATGATATTTGAGTTGAGACCTGAGGAATCCGAAATCAGCCACCTAAGGGAAGAGTTCTCAGGCAGAATAAATGGGAAATGCAAAGGCCACTAGCCTAGAAGGAGTTTAGCATCTTGTGAGAAGAAAAGAGGCTAGTGGGGCTGGAGTAAGTGGGAGAGAAAGTGTTACATGAGATGAGAAAAGGAAGAAGGCACCAGTTCATGTAGAGCCTTGTAGCTCATAGTGAGGCATTTAGATTTTATCCCAAGTACAAAAAGAAGCTATTATGAGGTGGGTTTTTTTTTTTTAAGTTTGTTTTAAAGTAATCTCTATGAGGGGCGCCTGGGTGGCTTAGTCGGTTAAGCGTCCGACTTTCGCTCAGGTCATGATCTCGCGGTTCGTGGGTTCAAGCCCCGCGTCGGGCTCTGTGCTGACTGCCAGCTCAGAGCCTGGAGCCTGTTTCAGTCTGTGACTCCCTCTCTCTCTGACCCTCCCCTGCTCACACTGTCTCTCTCTCTCTCCTAGAAATAAATAAAACATTTAAAAAATTAAAAAAAAAATAAAGTAATCTCTATGCACAAGATGGGGCTCTAACTCATGGCCCTGAGGTCAGGAGTTGCATGCTCTTCTGACTAAGCAAGCCAAGCACCGTTATGAGGGTTTTAAGTAGGAAAAGTATATTGTGAGATTTATGTTTTTAAGAGTTCATGCTGTCCCGAAATAAACCCTCACATTTATGGTCAATTAATTTTTAACAAGAGTGCCAAGATAATAGAATGGGAAAAAGAATAGTTTCTTCAACAAATGGGACAACTGGACTTCCACATGCGAAAAAATGAAATTGGACCCCTACTTCCCACCACATACAAAACTAACTCAAAATGGGTGGCAGACTTACATGAAGGAGCTAAAGCTATGAAACTCTTAGAAGAAAGTACAGAAGTAAATCTTTGTAACCTTGGATTAGGCAAAGCCATCTTAGATAGGACACCAAGGAGCACCTGGGTGATTCAGTCGGTTGTGAATCTGACTTCGGCTCAGGTCATGATCTCATGGTTCATGAGTTTGAGCCCCACATCAGGCTCTGTGCTGACAGCTCAGAGCCTGGACCCTGCTTCGGATTCTGTGTCTCCCTCTCTCTCTGCCCCTCCCCTGCTCCTGCTCTGTTTCTGTCTCAAGAATAAACATTAAAAAAAAAAAACAACCCAAAAAACAGATAGGACACCAAAAGGTGCCAGGAAAGAAAAAACAGATAAATTGGACTTTATCAAAATTAGAAACTTTCGTGTTTCAGAGACATCACTGAGAAAGTGGAAAGATGATCAGCAGAATAGGAGACAATATTTACAAATCATATATTTCATAAGGGACTTACGTCTAAAAATAAAGAATTCTTACAGTTCAGTAATAAAAAGGCAAAACAATTTTTAAAAATTTTTAATATTTATTTTGGCGGGGGTGGTGGGGCAGAGAGAGAGGGAGACACAGAGTCTGAAACAGTCTGCAGGCTCCAAGCTGTCACCATAGAGCCTGACGTGGGGCTCGAACTCATGAACCAAGAGATCATGACTTGAGCGGAAGTCAGACACTCAACTGACTGAGCCACCAGGTTTTTTTTAATGGGCAAAGGAAGGATCTGAAAAGACATTTCTCCAAAGAAGATCTACAAATAGCCCATATGAAAAGAAGCTCAACATCATTAGCCATCAAAAAAATGCAAATTGAAACCATAACGAGATACCATTTCACATCCATGAGCATGGCTATAATCAACAGGACAGATAATAATAAATTGTGATGAGGATATGGAGAAATTAGGACCCTAATACTTTACTGTGGGGAATTTAAAATGGTGCAGCCACTTTGGAAAGCTTAGCATTTCCTCAAAAAGTTAGGCATGGAGTCACCATAAAACCCAGTCATTCCACTCCTAAGTGGTTCCAAGAGAAATGAAAATATACATCCACACAAAAGCTTGTACGTGAATGCTC